ATTAGAATGGCCAAAGTGTCTTCTCAGAATAAATAAAACAAGGGGGAGAGTTTGTGTAACTTGACGTGTTTACGCAAATGAATGTCAGAATAGTGACAAAGAGAAGTTGTAAAGGGTAAATTGATTTACAGCTTATCAACCATTTGCAGGTTAGTTAAAACCAGATTTTTAGATCGTAAGAAGGTTTTTTATGTTAGGAGATAATGATATTTTAGGGATACAAATCTTACTAATTAATCCATAGAGGGAGGAGAAGAGGTGATTTCATACCTTTCTCAAGTGTATTTGTGCGTAAGTGAATATAATGAACACAACTTGAATTGGGACTCAATTAACTTCCGTGATCGTACGGTATCCAGTGTTTCAGCCGTAAGCCTCTTTGTGCACAATTGTTTATGGTGCAAAACGAATAAGAAAATAATGATTTAAATAAGAATATCTATTTTACTATGTCAACGTTCACCGCCTAAAATTAACTGTGATTAAATGTTACGCATGAATGTATATTTCGCTGGCGTTCAATCCATATATGTGAAGGGGAACTGGTCAAGTGCTCAGGTGCGCAATGACACTACCGTCTACATACGGCTGATGAGACTGATGATGATGATGATGATGATGGTGATGAAATTTTATATTTTTTATTTATTTTTATATATTTTATTTTTTAAGTTTGTGAATGTTGCTATAACCCTTGCCTTTAGTTTATCTTTGGTGTTACAAGGATTTTTGTTAGTCTCTCGCTCAACAGCGCCCCACATATAATAATCAAGGAGATTGCAGTCTGGAGAGTTAGGTGGACACATGTAAGGAGTGACATGGTCGCAGAAATTGTCTGACAGATATGATTGTGTTCTACTCATGTTTCCAGACATAGGATCTTCCAGCAACCACCATTTTGACCCAGGATAGCACTACCTCCTTGTTGAGTCTGAGACCTTGTGGGAAGATGAATGGAAGCATAATATCACCATCACTAGTGATCACTCCAAACACCTTCGTAATCCGCATTAGACTCATCCAACTCTTTTCGATGCTCTGCACTGTCCTCAGATTGACATCCAAACACTGTAAATTTGTTGTTGTCGCTGGAATTTAACGAAATAATAATTCTAAAATTTTAAATGGTTATCATTTCGCTCCCTGATGAAATTCTTGGTTGCTGTGATTTCTCTAAAGAAATTCTGAGAGAATCAACATGATAAATAAGATTGCCATCAAATTTATTAGCTTTATTTTCATTATGATTCGAACGCGGACGTTGTACTTTTTAAAAATATAAAACCGCAAAACATCTTTAGATTGTATTTTTTTTGAGATGATAAAGATTTACTGATGCAAGTCCTACTAATTAACCCATAACTAGGGGACAAGAGGTGGATTCATACCTTCCCAAGGGTATTTCCTCGTAAGTGAATATAACCAATCGAACAGGAATTGGAACTCGGCTCTACAATTAACAATTCCGAACCACCCGCACACTCAAGCTTACAACCCCTGGTATTCCCAAACGGTCACCCATTTAGGTACTGACCAGGATCGACGTTGCTTAAATTCAGTGATCCTATAGGAACCGATGTTTCAACGTGATACGGTCGTAAGCCAAATTATATTAGTTTGTATTACTGGAGAAAATTTAACATTCCCAACTCAAATATTTAACTCCGTGTTTTTTTTAATTTATTTTTTTACGTTGTTTTTCTCCCAGTACAGCCACTCAAGGTAGAGGATTACTGCATGTTGCTGAAAGTAGATTACAACTGACCCGAGACTTGAAGAGATTAAGTTTGTAGGAGTCAGGGAAGTATCCTTCCGGGAAGCTGTTCCATAAAGTTACGTTTCTTGGAAAGTAGCTGTCGAATGGAATTTCCTTCTTACTAATGGAATACGAATGAAATGAGGATGATTCGACCAAATAAATACTATGGCGGAGCCAACTAAAGGAGATAACCGTACGGAGTTATCGGCCTTGATCGGTGAATTTGGTGTGAAGAGGTCTACAACAATGGCAGGCACATAACACACCTGCAAAACACGGCTTTATTCAATTCTCTTTCATCCGCTGATTACATATCCGTATTAGCAAAAATAAAGGTTTAAATAATAACAAATATCTAATCTTTAATTTGGTTATTTTGTTATAACAGCAGTTATAACAATAAACATAGCTTGTAGGGTTTTAGTTGTAAATGTCTGAACTGGTAGAACTAAGGAATGTAGCTCGTCAAAAAAGTTACCGTCAAAATAGCGAGAGGCTTGTGATTTTCGTCGACAGGGTTGTAGGCTGGAAAATAATTCATCACCCACAAGGCCACGTAGACGCTTTTGAACTCGGGTTAGTCTAGAAATTGAGAATTGAGACCAGATATTGCATCAATATTCTCTGTCTGGTCTGATTTCATCTTGCAAAGGTGCAGAATGACATGAGGATTTAGGCATTTTGTGGAGCTATACAAGGAACTATTTCCCCAGCATCTTTTGTGACGGATCATATAAATGCATTTTACTTTAAGAGAATTTATGTCCGAATAACCTTTCCAAGTCCGGAGCTTCATTAAGAGTACAACCCTTCATCATGACACGGGACCAGCATTCAGGGTTTGCTCAGTGATGATGAAACGTTACTAGCTCAATTCTGGAGATATTGAATGTTACAGAGGCTTACGGCCACATCTTGTCTGATCACCGAAGTTAAGCTACGTCGAACTTGGTTGACCGCTTGGGAATATCAAGTGATGTCCGATAATCGGCTGGTGTAACGGATTACAGCTCGGAATGAGAAATCGGGGGTGACCACGAGTTCGAATTCCACTCGGGTTCGTAACATTCAGTTACGCGCAAAAACCCTTGGTCGATCATGTCTCTTTTTCGATTCATAATTGCTGAAGCGTGTCACATACGCCTCTAACAACGATCACAGGGTCTGTACGGCAGGGTAATGGCCCATTCTTCCCCATGAATTTGTGGAAGGCTTACGTCCAACAAAGGACTTTCACAGGTTAATAATAATAATGTTATAAGCCGGGTTTTCTACCATTGAGTTGTTAGTTCTACTTCAGAGGAGAGATCATCTATCAGACTCTGATCATCAAGATTTTTGAACCTGTACTTATAAACTGTTGTATATGATATTCTTGCCCTATTAAATATCACAGAATCGTCTCTATCTTCATTTGAATTGAATTTGTTTCATTTTTTCTTTAAATAATATAATTGTTGCAATTATTACTGTAATTGGTGGTGACTTTGTACGTCTCAAAGCCACAAGTATGGAAGACCCACTTACGATTGAACTCATTTTAATAGTAATGGTTTGCGAATCTAGATTACTAACCAATCCTTTACGGTAACGCAATGGTTCCCAACCATTGTGCCGCGGCACACTAATGTGCCGCGGCACACTAATGTGCCGCGGAATGATTACTGGCGTGCCGCGAAGAGATAATACCTAGAAGCCATTTAATTTCATTTTGTTTAATAAAGACATTCAATTTCTTAATCATGACGACACTGTTCAATTACATTTAAGCAATATTGGTTAGAAATCGGAATCGTTAAAAATTTAGTCATTGTTTTATCACCAGTTTATATCGTCTATATATCTCATTCACAATATTTACAGATTCTTTGTAGATATTTTTATTAAATATTTAGGCGTTGTAAATTAAAGTTTTAGTAAGACAAACAAAAAACAAATTAAATATAAAAATTCTTTTAGATTTATTTTTTTCAATTTTAGATTAAATTTACCTTTAATTATGGACAAGTTTCTGAAAAGAAAAGGCGATATAATATTCTTTGTTTTTTATTATTTTATTGCAAAAAGGCTTTATGAGTGGAAAATATTTATTTTTTGTGATAGGTGTGCCGCGAAAATTTAAAGAACCCAATTGTGTGCCGCCATGTAAAAAAGATTGGGACCACTGCGGTAACGTGACCATACTTTCAATTTTTACTCCTCTTTCATCACGTCTCCTGCAATTAAGGTCATTGTTTTTTTAAATACAGAATTTTCATTGTTTTAGAGTGGTTGCCACCTCAAGGCAAGAGAGCCAAATTAGCACTTCTATTTAACCCATAGTTAGGGGTTTGGAGAAGAGATGGAACATATCATTTCTAAGATTATTTGTGCGTAATTTAACGTAACGAACACGATATGAAATCGAAATCGGTTGTCAATTTCTCATATATCGCCCTTACACTACTCGTATATCCTACAACACTTTACAAGACCATAAAATTTGAGCACCCAGTGAGGACCAAGTTGATTAAGACTAGCTTGCTTATACTACGAGGATGTGTTGAAAGATTCTCGGATTAACCCTCATCCGAAAATTAGTATTTTAATTTTAATATTTTTGCATTGAAATTCTGATTTTCAATGCGCACCCGCTTCTATCAATTATTGTTATATTTCTTTCATTTACTTCCTTGTAATTCACCTCAAATACTCAACACCATTCGCAGTTTCGCGACAGATCACTCCAATACTGCGATCTGTCTTTGAATCTGTAAGTAATATTTTTGGTTTGCTTCCATGAACCTAAACTTAATTTCTGCTACAATCAGAAGAATTCTACTGGAGATTGTCAGACAAATCTCTTCGATACTCCAGCATTCCCTTCACTGTTCGAGTTGATTAAAATAATATTATCGTCAGAATGTTTTCAATTTTATCTCGGACTTCCAATTCTTTCAGCCTCTTCTCTCCGTTCTTCGGAAAACTGTTCTGGTTTCTTCAGTAAGAACGACTGTCATCTTAATATTTCACTACTTTCTTATGTCTCTTGGCGATATATTCTTCTTCTTCTTCTTCTTCTTCTTATTATTATTATTATTATTAGTAGTAGTAGTAGTAGCAGTATTAGTAGTATTAGTAGTATTAGTATTATTATATTGTCAATGGAAATTCTCTTCTTGAGGTATGTTGTCAATAAGACTTCTCACATCTCAAGAACATTTTGGAAAATCTTGATATGGAAGAGCAAAGTCAATAATTTGACATTTGTTTCTCTCCCTATCTATGAGGTCGGATCTTCGTGCTTCACTGACAGGGTCTGTCTAGACCGAAAAATCCTATAATATTTTGTGACTGTCATATTTTTACCAATTCCTCTGACTGATATTCATACCATTTCTCTTTCACATTGAAGCCAAATATATTGCATACACCCCAATGGATTCGCTTATACTCTTTTCAACTTGGATTATTCACCACTTATGTGGTTGTCTCATCATCTTGCCCACACATTCTTGCACTTACTTTCTTCTTGGGATTTATCTATCCTACCCTTGGTCACATTATTATTATTATTATATTTTTTTTTTCTTTGATTTCTGGCGTTTACACATTTCTTTCCGGGTCCCGCCCAGGGACCTAAGGTTAGAAATGGCGTCATGACACTTTCCACTGACAAAAAAAAAAAAAAAAAAAAAAAGAAAAAGATTACATAGATAAAGCCCTTCGTAAGGTGTGGGCTGTACTTGTTAGAACAATTTTCTGTATCTCTCCTTGAGGCATGGACTTCCAGGTATCCCTTCAATTAGTCTACTGGAATCTTTTCCAACCAGTCCTAGGGCTCCAACTACAACAGGGATTGTTGATGTTCCCATATGCCACACTTTCGCGATTTTTATTTCAAGGTCCTTGTACTTTGACAACTTTTTGAATATCTTCAAAGATACATTGCAGTCGGCAGGGACTGCCATATCAATAAGGAGGCACCGTTTTTGTTTATGGTCTTTAATAACAATATCTGGGCGGTTGGCCTTGATTGTTCTGTCAGTGTGTGTTGTGTAGTCCCATAGAATTGTAACAGATCCTATCTCCGTGACCGGGTCTGGGTGGTGTTCATACCAGTTTCTTTCAGTTTTCTTCCCGTAGAAGTTGCAGATTTTCCAGTGCAGATATTGGCCCACTCTGTCATGTCGGGTTTTATATTCAGTGGGTGCCAACACCGTACAACCTGCTACAAGATGATCAATCGTTTCTGGATATTTATCAAAGTATCTGCATTTTGGACTGACACAATATTTTAGTATATGTGCTTGATAATTCCTAGTTAGTAAGCATTGGTCCTGCGCAGCAAGGATAAAACCTTCAGTTTCCGCTTTCAACCCTGCACTACGTAGCCACTGATGGGTACGGGTTTTGTCTACGTCAGCTTGTTTGGTACGGGCAGAGTATTGGCCATGAAGCGGTTTATCTTGCCATCGCTTCTGTAACTGGTCTGTTGCATTCGTCTTAGCTATCTTTTTAGGTATTTTGCAGTTTCAGCCGGTGTATTGTGCTGTAGTTGCATCTCTACGCCCATTTGGAACTCCATTTTGAATTTGTTGGCTTCCTTCATTACGGAGTAGAGACGCTTACTACTTTCATGTTCCTTGACGCACACCATCATCCAGTCTTCTGTAGTTTCCAAATATCTTTGGAGGCCAATTGTTGTAGTTTTTTGTAGGACAGTTCTAGTTGAACTAATCCTCTGCCTCCTTCGGATCTGGGCACATACAGACGGTCGACATCAGCTTTGGGATGATGCATGCGATAGCAAGTGAGTAGCTTTCTCGTTTTGGCATCCAGTCGCTTAATTTCAGCTATGGT